CAAGTGCCTTTAACTGCTAAGGCATCTCTCCAGTCCTGCAGGTGGCTTATTATAAGGAAGTGGATTTATCTGCATCTTTATTACTTCAGATCTTCCTTTTCCTGGTACAGTAGCAAGAGAAAGTTCTGTGCAAAATAACTCAGCACTTCAAGGAGTGGCCTTGGGAGGACAAGATGATGGGCTATGGCCTCAGGCTCCACTTTCTATGCTTGATTAGATCTGTTAGCAGTTACTATGGAGCTCTAGCCCTCCTGAAGAAGGAGATGTCACTTTTCAGCCCCAGGAAACCATACTATGGTTGCTTATCATTTTCCATATGTCCTGACTCATGGCTGCCATGCTCCTAAGGCTACTGTGTGAGAACAAGTAAATTCATAAAAATGAATGTTTGGATTAAGACAGAGTTGGTACCACCTGACCACTCAGCCTCCTAGACCTGTCTCCTGTCTGCACTCACTTGGTGGGGCCTCAAGAACGCCTCCTTCAGGTCTGTGATCCCATTCCAGAAACAGCACACCTCCCCCACCTCTCTGCTAGCTAGGGTATCATTTATTTGTAGAAATGAGGTAGATGCCGGGCGGTGGTGGAGCACACCTTTAATCCTGAGGCAGAGGCAGGTGGATCTCTTGAGTTTGAGGCCAGCCTGGTCTACAGTGTGAGTTCCAGGGCAACCAGGACTGTTACACAGAGAAACCTTGTCTTGAAAAACAAAAAAAAAGAGGTAGATATTAGATAATCACTAAGACCTGGACAATGTGGCTTACAGTAGTGATGCCAACCTGGTTGATACAGCAACACCCTGTCTTGTTTGTTTGTTTGTTTGTTTGGACAGAGTCTCTCTGTGTAGCTTTGTGCCTTTCCTGGAACTCTGTAACCCAGGCTGACCTCGAACTCACAGAGATCCGCCTGCCTCTGCCTCCTCAGTGCTGGGATTAAAAGCAAAAAAATTCCAATAGATTTAGCCAAATGTACCCACCTCCACCAGCTGCCTCAGCATCTACTGACCTTGCCTAGCAGTACCTTTCACTTTACTTTCTAGACCTTGCTTGGAAGAGTCACCTAGAGAAAAGCTGAGGACAGAAGGCTACAGCATTAAAAAAGAATAGGGATGATGGTTCGTTCAATCTAGATAGCCTGAACTCAGTCCCAGGAACCCTCAAGATAAAGGAGAGAACAGATTTACAAGTTGTCCTCTGACCTCCACATAGAGACCATAGCATGTCAGCATGTGTGCAAAAGCCTGTAAATAAATAAATGTGTTTCTCTTTTTAAAAATTTGTTTGTTTGAGACAAGTTCTGTGTAGCTAGCTCTGGCTGTCCTAGAACTCACTGTGTACACTAGGCCTGGCTTCTTTTATTTATTTATTTGTTTGTTTGTTTATTTGTTTATGTTTGTTTGTTTGCTTGCTTGCTTGTTTTAGTTTCTTGAGGCATGGTTTCTCTGTGTAGCCCTGGCTGTACTGGATCGCTGTAGACTAGGCTGGCCTCCAACTCGGAAATCTACCTGTGTGCCTCTTGCTGGGATTAAAGGCCTGGGCCACCACTGCTTAGCTTTTTATTTATTTTGTTTTTTTCGAGACAGGGTTTCTCTGTGTAACAGCTTTGGCTGTTCTGGAACTCACTTTGTAGGCCAGGCTGGCTTAGAACTCACTGAGATCTGCTTTCTTCTGCCAGGGTGCTGGTATTAAAGGCTTAAAGGCATGCTCCACCACCACCTGGCTTCTTTTTATTTTTTAATTTTTTTAAATTTTTTATTTTTTGAAACAGGGTTTCACTATGTGGCCTGAAATTCACTATATAGGCCAGGTTGTCCATGAACTCACAGAGAGCACCTGCCTCTTCCTCCCAGTGCTGGAATTAAAGGCATTCTTCCACACCAGACAAATGTAATTTTTTAAAAAAGACTTGGGAAAGGGGATAGATGACTAGTGGTTAATAGCACTTGTTGCTCTTATAGACAGGAAAATAGGTTTGTTTCCCTCGGCATCTACTAACCTGGTGGCTAGCACTTGTAAACTCTAGTTCCAGAGGATCCAACACCCTCTTCTGTTCTCTGTGGGAACTGTACACACATGGTACATACACACAAGCTGGCAAAATACCCTAACACAAAAATAAGTATTTGTTTTTTATTTTTATTTATTTTTTGGTTTTTTTGAAGACAAGGTTTCTCTATGTAACAGCCTTGGCTGTCTTGGAACTCACTCTGTAGAACAGGCTGGACTTGCACTCACAGAGATCCACCTGGCTCTGCCTCCTGGGTGCTAGGATTAAAGGCATGTGCCACCACCGCCTAGTGTCTTTGTTTTTTTAAAGGCTCCAACGGAATTGGAACCTGAGAGCCCAGGCCACTCTCTTTTGCCTTGAGAAACTATCAGTCCAACCCCAGTGGACACAAAATAGGGGACACTATATTCTCTTGATGACTCTTCCTCTGCACTTTCATTCTGGCCTTGATCTGGGGTCTTAGTCTCCTCTCCTGTGAAGCAGCACCATAGTCCACCCACAGAATGTGTTTGCATGGTATTGTATCCTGCCTTGTACATGTTCTGTCCATCTCTGTCTTTAGAGTCTGGGAGACCCAACAGCCTATACTGTCCAGCTGCTTGGACAAAGGCCAAGTGCAGAATGTACCAGGGTCTGTTTAACCTCATGACCAGGACAAGGCTGTGTATTAGCCCAGCCACATTCTGTTAGTGATGTTCCTGGAATTACTATAGGGTCTTTTCAGCCCTAACTTCAGAGATGCCTATGGCACCCATTATGTGTGATGTGCTATCATCCCTCACCTGGTCATCAGCTCGATGATGATGGGGTGAATTTGGGCTTTCACACTAGAGCAGAACAGGCAGGCAGGGGGACCCAGGCTCCATCAGCAGGTCTGTGCTGCTGCCCACCACATCCAGAGCAGGGCCCAGGGAACCCTCATATGCCAGTGTAGACACTTAACCCTAGCACACAGTCTTTTTGTGACAATTGGCATTTTGATCAACCACCCACTCTGCCCAGTAATGACCTGACAAGGCACTGTGAGGAAGGCCACTACAGGGCACAGAAACTCCCACAGGCCTTGGCCAACATAAACCCATGAGAATCACCAGGCAGCTACATTTCTAATTTTTAAAATTACATTTGTTTACATAGTTTTTGTGTGTAGGGGTGGGTTCAGATGTGCACAACATATCTGTGGAGGTCAAAGGAGTTGTTTTTCTCCTTTCAGAGTGTGGGTCAAAGGGATTGAACCCAGATCCTCATATTTGAATGTGGGTGTCCAGGAGTGGACTGAACCCCAAGGAGGCTACTATTTGGGCATCTGGTCATGGTGAGAGGATGAAGAACTATATAGTGAGGCTCTGTCTCAAAACAACAACAACAAAAAAAACCTGTCAGTATATGCATGTACTTTCATTTTCTTAACTGTCATATAAGAAGTAAAATGGTTGTGGCAATATAGGTCTTTAATCCTGGTTACTAGGGAGATAGGCAAGGGGACAGGAGGATCACAAGGTCAAAGACTGCCTGGATCACAGGATGAGACTTTTGTTTTGTTATAAAAAGGCCAATCTGTGGTGGTGCACACCTTTAAACCCAGTACTTGGAAGCCAGAGGCAGGCCAGGTGAATCTCTTGAGTTTGAGAACAGCCTGATCTACAGAGTGAGTTCCAGGACAGCCAGTGTTACACAGAGAAACTCTTATCTCAAAAAACCAAAAATGGAAAAAATACACATACACACACACACACACACACACACACACACACACACACACACACACACACACCAGGCTGGGAGTACAACTCAGTGGTAAAGTATTCCATAGCAAGTGTAAGGCCCTAGGTTTAATTCCTAACAACACAGGGTAAAAGATTTTAAAGCCATTATGATTTTTTTTTCTCCTAACACTTCTAATAGTTTTATTCTACACATCTGTAATCTATTTTGAGTTAATGTTTGTATGTGATAAGAGGAAATAGTTCAGGGGCTGGAGAGATGGCTCAGAGGTTGAGAGCATTGGCTGCTTTTCCAGAGGTCCTGAGTTCAGTTCCCAGCACCCACATGGTGGCTCACAACCATCTATAATGAGATCTAGTGTCCTCTTCTGGCCTGCTTGTCGTTATACATACAGGCAGAACACTGTATACATAATAAACCTTTAAAAAAAAGAGGGCGGGGGCGGGGGAATAGTTCAGTCTTCAGTCCTCTTGACTGGCTATTCTGTTTAACACAGCTTGAAGGTTCTCCTTGTTGAATCACTTCAGCACCCATTGGCTAGGCTTGTGTGTATGGTTGAGGTCTATTTCTCGACAATCTGTTCAGTTGTTTAATATTGGAATTGAGCCGTGGTACCTTGTAGGCACTCTACCATTAGACTATATCCTCAGCCTTTTTATACTTTGAGACAGTTTTGTTGCCCAGGCAAACCTTGAACCTGTTATCGTCCTATCCTACCTCTGCCTTTCAAGTAGCTAGGATTATGGGCCTGTGTCAACAGCCCCAGCAGTTCTGTTTCTTTGCTACATAGACCTAGCTGGCCTCAAATTTGCAGTGGCCTTCTGCTGCCTCTGCCTCCCAAATCCTTATTGTGATGATTTATTTAGGTAGGTGGGACATAGAAATTATCTGGGTTTTTTTGTTTGTTTGGTTGGTTGGTTTTGGTTTTTTGAGACAAAGTTTCTCTGTGTCATTTTGATGCCTGTCCTGGATCTCGCTCTGTAGACCAGGCTGGCCTCCAACTCGCAGAGACCCGCCTGACTCTGCCTCCCGAGTGCTCGGATTAAAGGTATGCACCACTGCCACCCGGTTTTGTTTTGTTTTATAGAGCTCCTCTGGTGAGTATCCAGTGTAGCCAGGGTAAGAACCATATTTATTCCTTTATCTTTGACTTTAGCATGGGCTCCAAAGGTTTGTCCATAGTCAGTGCATTTTTTCTTCTGCTTTCCCTGACATGGTTATACATGCCCTAGTTGTTTGGACTACTATAACAAAGCAGCACAGACTGAATGGTTCAAAGGAGTAGATTTATGTTCTCACAGTCCTGGAGACTAGAGTCCAAGATCATCAGGTACCAGCTCACTGGGGGAGAACTCTTCCTGAGCATCTCTGTGCAGCTCATGGTGGACAGGTTTGAAACTGGAGGGAAGCCAGGCAGTGGTGTTGCAAGCCTTTAATCCCAGCCGTCGGGAGGCAGAGGCAGGCAGATCTCTGTGAGTAAGTTCTAGGGCTGCCAGGGCTTTACAGAGAGAAGCCTTGTAGTGGTGGGGGGCACTAAATGGACATCAAGGCCCCACCCTGTGACTCACTTCCTCAGAGGCCCTTCTCCAAATACAGTCACAGTGGTAGTTAAGGCTTCAAGATAACTTCAAGCACAGTGCTGGACTTGGTGGTGCAGGTCTGTTAATCCCAGCTGCTCTGGAGGCTGAGGAAGAAAGATCACAAGTGAAAGGCCTGTGTGGGTAACAGAGAGACTGTCTCAAAAAATAAAATAGCTTGGGGTATATCAGTGGTAGAGCATGTGCCTAACATGAGTGAGGTCCTGGGTTCAATCCTATTACTGCTAGGAAAAAAAAGAAGCGTTTAGACCACAGCACAGCACTATTTCATCTGGGATTTATACTTACTTACTTTCTTTTTTTTTTTTAAAGACAGGATTTCCCTATATAGACCAGGCTGGCCTTGAACTCAGAGATCCTCTTACCTCTACCTCCTGAGTGCTGGATTAAAGGTGTGTGTCACCAGGTCCAGCTGTTTCTCTTCTTTGATGGCAAAATACTTGTTTTGTTTTTGACACTGTTCTCTGTTTGCTGTACAGTGGTTTTCTTACTAAGGATGGGTTATGTTGAGTGCATGCTTGTAGCCCACTCTCCATCCAGACTTCTAGTTATTGAGGACATTTTCATATCAATGTTCCTAAGCAGGAAGCTGTGGTATTTATGTAGGTTTGTGTTTTGTCCCTTGCAGGCTTCCTGAGGTGAAGCAGCAGGTCTGGGGTTGTCATTGACCACATTGCCTACAATCATGGCCCTGTGGCTGATGTTTCTCTCCATCACAATCCTTTCTAGAGGTTTGGGGTTTTTTTTTTGTTGTTGTCTTTATAGTCTCCCCTGTAAACCACCTATAACTCCAGCTCTAGGGACTCCAACTCCTGGCTTCTATAGGCACCTCCACATGCATGCACATTACCACACAGAGACATACAACATATTCACCTAATTAAAAAAAAAAAAAAAATGAGCCTGGCCATGGTGGCGAACGCCTTAATCCCAACACTTCAGAAGTAGAGGCATCCTGAGTTTGAGGCAGCCTGGTCTACAGAGTTCCAGGATAGCCAGGGCTACACAGAGAAACCCTGTCTCGAAAAACCAAAAATAAATAAATAAATAAAAATTAAAGGTTTAAACTAGAAAAAAAAAAAGTCATCTTAAGGACATAGTGGCTTATACTTATAATCTCAACCCTTGGGAGCCAAAAGCAGGAGGATCACTGAAGGTGAGAGGACAGTTGGAATGAAAATGATGTGAGGGCTCCAAGGTTGGAGGGTTTTATTGTAGCTGTGAGGGAGAGAACGAAGGGTCCAGACTGAACTTGGCCAGCAGAATAGACCAGGCCTTGAGAAGAGAAGGGGTAGGGAGTGGGGAAGATCCAGAGAGAAAGAGAGAAGGGGCCAAGAGGACTAGGAGGGCTAGGAGCCAAAATGGCATTTACATAGGAATCAGAAGCTGGGAGAAGGGAGGCAAAGCTCAGCCCCTAGGCTGGAGGGTGTAAAGGGGGAGTGTGTGTGTGGGGGTGTGGTGAGATGTGCTGGGAGGAGCCACAGGTACTGAATGAGACTTGACCTAGATTTCTTTGGGCCCTCACAAAAATGAGTTCTAGGACAGCCTGAATTTTAGTGTGAAGACCTTGTCTCAAAAAAGAAAATGGGGCCGGGCGGTGGTGGCGCACGCCTTTAATCCCAGCACTCGGGAGGCAGAGCCAGGCGGATCTCTGTGAGTTCGAGGCCAGCCTGGGCTACCAAGTGAGTCCCAGGAAAGGCGCAAAGCTACACAGAGAAACCCTGTCTCGAAAAACCAAAAAAAAAAAAAAGAAAATGGGGTCAAAACACTTGCAGAGGACCCAGGTTTGATTTCGAGCACCCATATGGTGGCTCACAACCATCTGTAACTCCAGTTCCAGGGCATCCAATGCCCTGTTTCTGACTTCCTGGGGTACTAGGCATACACATGGTGCACATATATACATATAGGCAAAACATATATATATAAAATAAATCTTAAAGAGAATTTTAAAAGTCACCTTGATCAGGTTCTCAGTTTAGCCCAGCATTGGGTGAGTACCTGTAATCCCAGTACACAGGAGAATCAACAAGGTCATTCTTTTTTTTTTTTGGTTTTTCGAGACAGGGTTTCTCTGTGTAGCTTTGCCTCGAACTCACAGAGATCCACCTGGCTCTGCCTCCCGAGTGCTGGGATTAAAGGCGTGCGCCACCAACCGCCCGGCCTTCTTTGTTTATTTTTAAGACAAGGTATTCTGTAGCCCTGGCTGTCCTGGAATTCTCTCAAACTCAGAGAACCTCCTGCCTCTGCCTCCTGGCTTCATGGGCTTTCATCCCCAAAGCTATCCTTTGTTGTTTTGTTTTAGAGACAGGAGTCTCACTGTGGCCCTAGATGGCCTGGAACTCAGAGATCTGACTGCCACCGCCTCCCAAGTGCTGAGATCTAAGGCATATGCCGCCACCCCCGCCAGGCCAACTCATTTTATTCCTTTCCAGTTTTGTTAGTTAACTACCACTCATCCTCAGAAAGTCCAGCTTGGTTCTAGGGGAGTAAATAAACTTTGTGTTTGCCTGGTTTCACTGTCTGGGTGTTGCCCATGTGACTTCTCATGCTGGCTTTGACCCCAAGAGGGCTGGGAAAATGTTTCAAAACTCTAGGTGAGTGAGACTCTTTTTTTTTTCTTCCTTTGTCTTTTCCCAATTTTATTGAGCCATGGTGTCAGAACTATGTACCTTCATGACATTTGGATGTGAAGTTTTCTTTGAGAATTACTACAGTTCAATTCTGATGACTTTCTTGGTACTAGACTGACCTTGCCGACTTTGTAGGTGCACACCCCAGTGCATACCTGCTGTTCTGCAGCTGTTAGGGACTGAAAAGTATTTTGCTGTGCTGCTGTCTACACCACAACTTTACATTTTGATCTTACTTGTTTGGCCACAGGGCTGCTATGTGGTGCTCTGTGTCCACCCTTCCAGGGACCCTTTTATCTGGCTTGTGATGGAAATGCTACTACTCTGTCTTGGTTATTTTGTCCTTACTCTCCTCTATCTTTAGACTGATTGAAAAACACCAGTGAGGAGTGAAAGGTGCATCTTAGTCATAGAGCACTTAGCTGGAGTGTGCTAGGCCCTGGGTTCAGTCTCCAGCACTGAAGAAAAAGGACAAGAAGAAGGATTCTGAGTTTTTAACTGTCGTTAGGGTAAAAGTAGCATATTTTTTAAAAACTTTGGAAAATGGAAACCTGGCAGTTTTTTTCCTGTTGCTTGTGACTTTTCTTAGGGAGTCTGTTTTCTGTTCACCCAGATAGAGAAGGTGGTGACAAACGGGCCCAGCCAAGTCCAGCAGTGAGTTTATTGAGGTTACTCACAGGAGCCTAGGTGACTCAGACAACTGTGTCAGTAGTCTTTTCCCAGCAGTGTTTACTTCTTATATATCTTCAGGGAAGGGTGGGACCTCAGGAATCTTCCCCATCCCTCCACAGGGAATGTCCTGAGGGTCTTGTGGGAGAGACTTGTGCAGGTGACCACGGTTGTTCAGATAATCACATCCAACATTTCCTTGGATACACTGAATGTTTGTTACTGCTGCTCATATACATTGATTTTCTTTATTTTATCAAATTAAGGCCTCAGTGTTTTTCTCATATCAACTATGGAAATGGAACCAGGAAAGATGAATGTGAGTAAGGAATTGAGCCCTGATTCAGCCTCATACCACTGCTCAGCGTGTCATGGGGATGAGACCTGGAGCTACAATCATCCCATCAGGGGCCGGGCCAAGTCTCGGAGCTTATCAGCCTCACCTGCCCTGGGCAGCACCAAGGAGTTCAGGTAGGATCAGGAGTGCTCCCCTCTCCTCTCATGCCATGATGGGACATGTTAAGATCCTTACAGAGGACACAGCCTGTATCATTGTAGGTCAACATTGCTTAATGTTTGTTTTGTCCATGGGGTGGGGCTGGGCACTGCCCAAGTGGTGCTGACCTTAGCAGAGGGATCAAACACTGTCCACGAGACTTGTGCTGGGCACTTGTTACCAACTGGCATGTGCCAAATATAGGCTACACTATGTTTTTCTTTCTGTCTCAGCACAGAACCACCCAACTAGAACCATGCTGACTTGGGGTTAAGCTGATAGGAAAGCATGGTTGTGCTCAGTAAAAGAAAGAATGCTGGTGGAGCAGAGGTACTGTTGTGACCTAGAGCCCTCAGCTCCTTATATGCAGGCCACTGGGTCTCATGTGCAGGTTGTGGGGCACTCACTGCCTTCCTCTGCTGCGGCATAAAGCCTCAAGGGGAGTCACCTGACAAGCATGGGGTTCCGCTGTCATCAGAAGGTGTTCTCACTCCCAGGGACAATAACTATGTTAAGTTTTAGATGGAAGCTTGCCAGAGACTGGCAGTGACTCCAGAACAAGGGTCATACTTGTGAAATGCGAAGGTGGGCTTTCTAGTGAGGAAGGAGCCACTTTAAAATCAAGGGGTCTTTTCTGTGAGATAGAATGATCTCACAGAGCTCCTACGTGGTAGCAGTGGAGGAACAAGCGGCTGCTTCAGGTTCTTTGTAGAAAGTTCTGTCTGTGAGAGATGGCTAGGGCAGAGGCCAGGTGGCCGACGCTGGTACACAGCTGGTCACAGAGCACCCTCTGTTGCCTATGCCTTCACCACTAGGTTTGTGCCCTGCCAGCTTTGGGCAGAATTGCCTTAGTTTCTGGTTTGTGTGGGTTTTGTCATAACATATTTTTTTGTCTCAGGGATGTTGAACCTGTGAAAATGACTGTAGGTCAGGGCAGCTTCTGTAGCTGGTGGCTGATGCCCTGGGGCGGTATAGGGACAAGCAAGTTTGCCCATCCTTTAAGGACGATAGAGGGAGTGCCAGTTCTGAATCTTTTGCAAGCTCTAAATCTCCTGCCTGGTAACCTTTAAGTTCCAACAAAAGTTGATATTTGTGATATTCTGTATAACTTTTTAAAGGCTTATGTAAATCACCCAGGCTTGGTGATTCACACTTGTAATCTTAGCACTTAAAAGACTGAGGCAGGAAGATCACAAGTTTAAGGCCAGCCTAGGCTATATAGGGAGGCCCTGTTTGAAAAAAAAGAAAGAAAAGGGAAAAAGCTTTATGTAAAACTCTAGCACTTGTT